GTTATGAACAGTTTGAGTATGTGGAATGAATCATTCGGTTACCTAAACTTTAAATTAGACAGTGTTAAATGATTGTTACTATAATAGAATATTGAAAGAAAATTGATTTGTATTTTTGTAATGTTCCTTCACACTTAATGTTTGAAGTTTATATTTCAAATTGAACATTAGTCATGATTAAGGCTATTTTAGTGTTTAACAATCATGGAAAACCTAGGCTTTCGAAGTTTTACCAATATTTCGTACGTATAACCATAAATAAAAGTTTTATGGGGTAATTTATTGTAAGAACCAACAGAATATATATTTTTTAGAATGAAGATATGCAACAGCAGATAATAAAAGAAACGTTTCAATTGGTTTCAAAGAGAGATGACAATGTCTGCAATTTTTTAGAAGGTGGAAGTTTAATTGGTGGATCCGATTACAAGCTGATTTATCGACACTATGCTACATTATATTTTGTATTCTGCGTTGACAGTTCAGAGTCAGAATTAGGAATATTGGATTTAATACAAGTGTTTGTTGAAACGTTGGATAAATGTTTTGAAAATGTATGTGAACTTGATCTTATCTTTCATGTAGATAAGGTTCATTACATACTAAATGAATTAGTAATGGGTGGAATGGTCTTGGAGACGAATATGACTGAAATACTTACACGAATTGAGGATCAGAATAAATTGGAAAAACAAGAGGTAAGTAGTATTTTGTAATTAAGATAAAACAAGTTGATATGTGTTGTATGTTTAAGCTTTGGTTATATAATTCATCTGAAATCTGTTTCATGATATAGCAGTGCACTGTGATCAAGTTTAACTCGCTAAATCACAGTTGTGGTTACTAATTTGTTAGCAAATCAGTAACTTGTTGGGCCCAAATCAGTTTCAGTTTCTCAAAAGTTGACAGCCATAGAGCAATAATATTTTTATCAAACAACATTAACAATATTTTCGCAATAAATGTGGGCTTGAACAAGTTAAAAGTCTGCTGCTGTTTGTTCATTAGCTGTGTATGCTTTGGAATGTTTCGTAAAGCGAATTCATATGGTGATAGGACTGATTGAGCTAACATCACTTTTAGGGAACTTACAATTCAGGACGATCTTGTTCACCTCGTCCGTTTGTCCTTCTGGGGCCCCTTCCCTAAGTAAATCGGCAGTAAAAAAAATTCAAATCATTCTGTACACACTCGTTCCTTTATATAATTTATTTTTGATCTCTTTTACCAAGCATCTCAAGACATACAGTTACACTAATAAATATTCGTACATTACAGTATTTGCAAACTTATCCCTTTATATATTTAATTACAATACATTTATCAAATTTATTGTTATTCAGTAGATTAATACACTTAATTTGCTATACACAATTAAGTAAATAAATTCTATATTTTTTATTGATTATAGATGTCTAATTATAATCAAAACTAAGCACACTTGCCATGTTCACAGTAATATTCAGATATTAGATATATCTTGCAGATTTTATTCTCCTTAAGGAATTGATAAAGTAACTCTTTTTAATGTTTTGTGCACATAACGTTAGTAGTCGTTCGAAGAGTCAATTTACCTTAGATTTCGCTAGGAATATACTGCGATAATCACTCGAAATGGCAAAAGTAACTCGTTCGATGTTCAACAGTTAATCATTTATTACAGAGAAAAAGTTATTGAGTAATTTGTAATTTGTTAAATATAAGTAAAAATGTTGTCGCTGATATAATAAAATGATATAGGATCAAATTAATCCCGCAAAAAGGAGGACAACCATTATTTAATTCACGCGAAAAGTCTAAAATTACATGAAAAGTACAAGTAGGTCCCGAATTAGGTGCACCAAAAGTAACTGTACAATTCTGTGAGGACATTGAAAAAAAGTTTGTGTTAGTTCAGTTCACTCGAGTGTTGTACGATGTTGAATATTTTAGGGTTTGGGTTATTTATTAAGGTAGTCTGAAAGAAATCGTTCATAAATGAAATAAGTCTGAAGAAACGATTAACGTTTGTATAGAAATTTGTTTATGAAGAATAAGAGTGATCGTAAGAGGAAAGAAGTACATTCATCCGTTCAACTAGAATAAATTCGATAAATGCATTATAATTAACATTATAAAACGAT